TTACAAAGTTAGTGCTAAAATGGACCTCAGAGACTATCTATCCAATAATTTGAATGCAGACCCATTGATATTCATTCATTTATTCAATATGTATTTATTTGTGGGTTGATATGTTCTAGACATAGGTATTACTTTCTAAAGTCAATAGTCCAAGATTGCAAGATTTCTGGTACTGTAGAAACTCGTCTCTCACTCAAAATGGACTTCTATCTGAAAACAAAAGGTGAAGCTATTGCTGAAATAAAATTTGAGTACTTGTTTGTGGACAGAATAGTTCATCCCAGTAGAGCACACAGAAAATTCCAGAGCATTATTAAGTATTTTAAAGATATAAAAATGGGAGAGAAATGAACAACTTTTTGAAAATGATTTCCAGATTGGATGTGAACCCTGCCTGGCTTCCAGACATGATTTAACCAGACACTTCTACCTAAATAATAAATTGTGTAAGGTTTCCCAAGACAATTCATGTGGCTAGCCCTGTGATTTTGAGAAATTGGAAATAGTCTGGAATTTTGGAGGCGGATATTAAATATAAACAGAGATTAGGCATTGGTATTTGACTAAATGAATTACTAAAAGCAATGGACAATGAAAGAATTGGCTCCTATGAAGTCTTCACTATGACTAGGAATCTGGTCAAACTAATAGTAAGGAAGGGTTTTCCTGCAAGAATAATCAATATCAACTCACTGTCATAAGTGAAGAAATTATGTAATGTTTTGGTTACTTTAAAAACATATCAAAATTCAAAATTGGTAGGACTTGACTTATTGGAAACTATTTTAATAAGTCTCTTGAAAACTATCCTGAGTATTTACAATTCTTTAAATAAATCATGCTGTGTAGCATGCCAATGTTTTTTGCATTTCCTTCTTTTTACCTATAATCTGCACTTCCTCTTCAATTTACTCTCCTATGCCCTACTTATTTATTAGGATTTAGTTATGGAGGAACCCTTTAAATGTTTTCTCAGCAATCAACTCTTCACCTTTATCACATCAGATTCCCTAACCATCTAAAAGTACTTGTAGACTTGTCTGTCTCCTCTCTAGACTAAGAATTCCTCAAATAGGGCACTTTTATTTACTTACCACAAGAATTTCTGATACTTAACCAATTTATTGGCACATCATTGAAGCCTAATAAATAATTTAATATTTGTTATTGAATGAAGTTAAAAGAAGCTGAGACTTCCATGAGCTTTATATTCATACATTATATTTAGCAGCCTAATCTTCATTTTATTTTTTAATAGATTGTAATAACTCTTCTAGTGTTCTATGGTTAATTATAATATTTGCTTTAGATTTAAAATAGATATCTTTTCTATATTAAGGAAAACCTTCTCATTCTCTACTTATAAGTGTGTTTATTAAAATACTAGAGGCCTGTTGCAGGAAGATTCCTGCAATAGGGCTTCCTGCTGCAGTTTCTGCTGCCCTGCCTGCTTCCCTCCCTTCTCCCCCACACAACTTGCTTCTCAAGTTTTGCTCCCTTCTGCAGTGCTTGGCTTCTTTCTACAATGTCTTCAGTCTTCTCTCTGCACTTGGATATGCAAATTAGCCACCATCTTGATTGGGTGAATTTGCATACTTGCCCTGATTGGTTAGTGGGCGTGGCTTGTGGGCATAGCAAAGGTATGGTCAATTTGCATATTTCTCTCTTATTAGATAGGACTAGACGCCCAGCGCATGATTAAATTGTGCCTGTGTAGTGTTCTCTAGGCCTAGCTTGCCATCAGGACCATGTCTGCCGCTCGGTGATGCTGCAAGCCTGCCCTCCTCCCATTTTTGCCACACAGTCCCCCCAACAGCCCTGTGCAAGCCCCGCCTTACCATGCAAACACCAAGTCCCAGCTTGTGAGAGGTGCTCCATGCATCTCCTGGTGACCAATTGTTTGATCATGATGCCATAATGGCCTTTTATGATATAGATAAGGAAAGGATATTGTGGTCAAGTTGTTCATTCTTCTCAATGTAAAAGAGTTTAAAAATCAATCTTTTAATACAACTTTATTTAATTCATCATGTTTTATTAACTCCACTTTCAGAGTACTACACAAACTATTTTGCTGTGTTGCGTTCTACTTTGTTGTCCAAGAAAGGACACATTTAAGTGTTTGTACTGTTAGAAAACAGAATGGAAAACTTGTTTTCCAAATAGTTAATGTGCTATGGCTCACTCTTCTCATGGCTGTCTTTGTATTTTAGAAAGTTTATTTGATGTTTGAATGATCATATTTGGAAATGGATACGGTCTTCCATATATTTTTTCAGAGTTTTTTTAAATCAAAATTTTTCTCTTTCTCATTGGACATAGTATCTTATAAGTAATATACAAAAACAAACATCACTGAGCTTTAATCCAATCTCTAACCTTCCTCTCCAATGCAGAAAACATAACTGATACTTTATTCATTTCTTCATTATTTAAATGTCTTGTAAGGATGTATTAATAATCAGCAAAACAAAATATTGATTTAAAATAAAATAAATAAAAAATATTAAGTTGCCTCAGTGAATAATAAAACAAGCACCACGACAATTATCTCACTGGTTTGTTAACCTGGTTTAATGGTCAAGCAGAGACAGGAGTAAAGGAACAAAGTCATACATTAAAGTAATTATAAGGCAAAAGTTGTAATAGACCTACAAAATTATATACATGTGCCTTTTATGTAACTCAATTTCTGTTCCTGCTGTTCATAAACAACTTTTGAGTGGTCCCAACATTACTAGTAGTTAGAAACAATGAGTAACTTATCTCAATCTGTATTGCTTATAAACTACAACATCAATAATTACTGTCCTTTGTTTGTGAGGTCTGAGAGGTAATCACAGCTATACTGTGTGTGGGGGAACGGAATGGCTGAGTTCTGTTTTGTCCAACTAATCAGAACAGCAATTTTAGAGATTCATAAGAACGTAGATTAAAGTATCTGCTCTTACTTGATCATGTCCATATTTTATGTTATGTTAACTATGTCTATTTTTTTCTAATACAGATATAACAATAGTCAATTCACAGAGGGTTCTGGATAAAATATCCCAAGATATCATGTCTCCCCTACAAATAGCTGAAAATCCATCTATTTTGTATAGTTTTTACAAACCAAATTTGTGGAAATGATGCAGAAACACTTGTTTGCTATAGAAATCCTAGCATTGCATTCTTGATTTGGGTTTTTTATAAAGTCTCTTTCAAGGCCTGTGAAATGTGAGGAAACCCTCAAATGTTCAAGAAGCTGCCTGCTTGCCTCATAGGATGTGGGATGTGTACCTTTGTGATCAATTGTTTTCTTAAACGAATCTAAATATAATTTAATATGTAGAAACCAACAATTTACAAAGCAAAATTGATTTCTGATGGTATAAAGGGAATGTTGATCCAATCACTTCATTTTAGAAATAAATTACTTAAGGCCCATAAGGATTAAGTGGTATTTTCAGGGTTACATGGCCAACTAATGGCAGTGCTGGACTCAAACACAGGCCTCCTGACTCTGAGGAAAGGGACACCACACCATAGTCAGAAGAGATACTAATCACTCAGAGAATCTTGCCTACAGGATCCAGAGTCCCACAGCTCATTCATCAAAAAGTTGTAAGGTAAAGAGTATGGGAAATTTATGGATTTTTAAAAATATCTTATTATAATATATTTTTAATGATTGTAGCTGGCACTTTTAGAAATGAGGTTTGCTTAACTATAGCTCTGGCTCATGTATTTTAGCTCATCTTTGCTACAATGTCAACTCCATAACAGCCTACAGCTATCTTTTGACTTTTTTTTTCTTAAAAACATGTCTTTGGGTGGGAAAATGACCTGTGGTCTCGAGTCTGCTGCAGAAGAATAGATTTCCATTACAATAACCCTATGACAAGTACAATGTGTTAATTTCACAAAACACTGCTGACATACATGACCTGGTCTCAAGAGTCCTTTTAAGTGGTAGTCTCTTAGTACTATACTGTTCAGAGAATAGAGCCAAGAACCAAGACACAACTGCTATGCAAATTAAACAGAATGTACTCTTTCGACTAATGTTGCCCAAAACATCCTTTCTTACTTATCTTTTTTAAAAAAAGTGAGGCATTTGCAAAGTTAGTAATTATTGTCCTTGAAATAGTGCACAAAATGTATATCAGGATTTATTTTACATTTTTATCATGCTATCTTACTGCAGTGACAAGATAACCACTTAAATTGTCTTATGACTCTCAAATTATATCAATGTAATTAATCATACAGAAATTTCCTAGATGCTTCACATAAATGCTACAATGAGTAGAAAATATTAATATTATCTGCATGTCAATGTGTCATATGAAAATCACCGTGATTGCTCTGTTTGTACAACTTTCACAGATTTTAATACCAATAGCCAGACTGTTAAGCCATTTGACCAAATTTTTCCAATGTGGCAAATGGAGGTGGGATAGAAAAAGAGCTGGAGGAGTCTTATAATAAGTAATGAAAATAAAGAGTTGAGAAACGGGAACTATGACAATATGTTAAAGAAAATTATATTCTTGAGAACAAGAAAGACAAATCTGGAGGGTAATCTCATAACCACATTCATAGAGTATTCATATAGTCCCTCCCTGATAGGTACAATAACAGAGCCCATGTAAAGCACAAAATTATTTCCAGGATTTTGAACAGATTCAAATATTTTTCTCATTTAGCTCAGCTGAAGCCTTGAGATTGAAAGCAGGTGCAGTGTCTTCTGCTTTGCCATATGACACAAACTTCATGTGGCTCTTTCTAATGAAATTTCTCCACTGTGTCTAATCTACAGTTTAGTGGCTCTTTTACCTTATGGGAGATTCCAGCAATGCATTTAATATGGACAGCTTTCTTTAAGTCAGCGTGTAATGAAATGTCTATGGACACAGCTTGAATTGTCGCTTTTTGCAATAGTGAGTCCTCTTGTCTTGCTTCCAGTTTACTATGGAATGCCAGAATATAAAGGACCTTGTATCCTAGTAACAGGTAGGTTTTTCTTTTTCATTCATCGGTCCTTAGACGTTTGCTCTGGAATGCAGCCCCCGAGTGGAGAGCAAAGCTGACTCTGGCATGTGGAGGAGGGTAGTAGCATGAAGGAGAGGCGAGCATCTTGAAGTGTTGAGTGTGCGCATGCCCACACCTATGTTTCAGGGAAAGGGCACTTGGAATACATATCTATGTCTTTCTTGGAAATGTTATGATTTTCCAGGCTCACAAATACATTTTATGAGCCACATAAAATTTCAGAGTGGCTGTACAAAGCTGTCAGTCATTCTTATGTTTGTTCCTAATTGTTGCAAAGATGCCTCCTAAAATAGTATGCAGGAGGTTTGACATATTTCTCTATTGTTTGATTGCCAGGTTCCTGAAAGAAACAGTTTTCAAATTCCAATTGCCTTTGGTTTACTCACAACTGTCACTATCTTGCCTGCAGCTCAACTACGTTTAAAGGTTTTTTTAAAAAATCATTTTTTTATGCTTTAACTTCTTGAACTCTGAAAACCCTTATGAAACTGCTATAAGGGAGAAACTTCACACATATTTATAACCAGATGTAGCTGGCAACGTCTTCGCTCTATGAAGATTGTTATGCAGCATATTTTCCATTTGTTTTTCTTCACATAGTTTACCTTGTCCAAATGCTACAGAAATATGTGACCTCTGATGATTTTTCATATTAAGAGGGCACATGAAAAGATGTCCAGTGTCTGACAACAATTTGTTTTGAAATTGCTGGAGCAAAAAGAATCCGTATGGATTGTTTACAAGACACCATAATCACTCCAATCAAAAGGCATGGAGTGGTCCCAAGGTACAAGCTGCACTTCTATGTTCTTGATGCCAAGAAGCTCTGCACTGCATTTTCCCCATAACATATCTTTCAGTTTTGCAGGAATATTGTTTCATCTCTGGAAATGAGATACGTATATGTCATTTAAATGGATGACTTGTGCAATTTATTTGAAGTGATGTTTTTCATAAGCTGAAAGAAAGAAGAAAGCTAGAACTGACAATTTAACATTCCATCAACTTGGAACCGAAATATTTTTTTTGTCTTTTCCTTCAAAAAGAAGGAAGGATAGAGCTAGTTCTTTAATCTTTAAAATGTAAAAAATCAGAAACTAAATAAACACAATTCTGTGTGTCCAAAATTTTGTCCCTGATTTCCAATAAATGGGAGGAGAGAAAATGCCAGTATTTATTGAGATGATTTGTTGTCAGTCCTAAAATTTGAACTTTGGGAAATTTGAATAGTCAACTTTTTGGAAAGTTGATCAGATTCTCAGGGTGCCTCTGTGAGGTCTCAGAATGCTTTACCAAGTAAATAAATAAGTAGACCAGCTCTATTTTCAAACAAGGACATTGCTGTAGAAATAGAAAACAAGTGTTTTGTAATTTTGGACTTGTCAAATGAATTCTTTCTTTTGATGAAATTTAATCCTTGATTCAAATGAGTGACTTTATCTTATTAGAAGAAACACTGACATCCAAAATCTGTCATGAGACTCACCATGAGCTCCTGCAAGCAAGCTCTATTTGCCTTTCATGGTTCTGTTGGTTCTTTAGTTGCTGCCAAATGGACACTGGCCGTGAAGGACTCCAGGACTCACTTTACAGAATTAAACAATCACATGCATGCATTTATTGGGTTGTCTGTGTCCGGCTTACTTGATCATGTTTTTTTAATCTACTTCTGCCTTCTTCATGAGTAGTGGAAATAAAATACTGTGATGTCCAAATTTTAAGGATGGGAAAAATAAAGATGAATAGTCTAAGAAAATAATTTTAAGTTAGCTTTTGTGTAATATTGTATTAAGTGTGAATTTGTAATGATACAATGTTTTATTCAGCTTTTATGCTATATTCTCCATCTGGCTGTGACTACCTTTGGGTCTTGCCTTTTTTATTTTTTAATATATTTTATTGATTTTTTACAGATAGGAAGAGAGAGGGATAGAGAGTTAGAAACATCAATGAGAGAGAATCATCAGTCAGCTGCCTCTTGCACACCCCCTACCAGGGATGTGCCCGCAACCAACGTACATGCCCTTGACCGGAATCAAACCCGAGACCTTTCAGTCCGCAGGCTGACACTCTATCCACTGAGCCAAACTGGTTTTGGCTGTGTCTTGCCTTTTAATCAAAGACCCATCTTCTCCTTTTCCATGCCCTTCACCCTCACTCCACTCATTTCTCTGCAGTCATCATGAACTCCCTGCACTGTGGTGTCCCCATACAACTTGGATTGATGGCACCTCGTCTTTGTTGTCTCTGCTGTCTTTACTTTGGGTGCCATTTTGATACCAAACTCAGGTTCAGATGCCTGCTGCTTCGAAGGCCAGTACTCAAGAGATAGGTGCTGATGTAAGGAAAGATGGTTTATTTCAGGTCCTGCAGCCTGAGAAGATGGGGACTCTCGTCCTAAAGACCACCATTACATCTCAGAACAGACAGAGGTTGTTATTAGGAGGGAGAGGGAAAGCAGAACAAAGAAAGCAGAGGGAGGGGGTTCAAAAATATTCTACAAGTACTCAGCAGAGTTTATTCCAATAATTATCTTGAAACTAGTCAGGCGGAGGTCCAGTTTTTATGGTTGAGAGTCAGCCAGTTTCCCAGAGCCAGGATGTTCGGTTGTTGGAGTCAGCCTCAATCTTGAAGCCAGATCCTGAAACTCTTACACAAATATGCTCCTTATTCATGAGTTACATATTGGAAAATAACTCATCTTTTAATAATTAGTTAAAAACATTTTTAACAGAAACAATATTAAAAGAATAGAGGGGCAGGTTATAGTTTCACTATGATTCCCATCCCGTGTATTGACCATCTTTCAAAATTCAGCATAAATGACCCTGCTAATTTCTTTGCAGGATGTTCTACACACAGTATTAGTCTACTTGTTTCCTCAGGGGGGTTCACTTAATTTATTTCCCCCTCCCCATGTTTTTTTTTTAAAATGGAAGTTACTCCTGGAGTCCTGATTAGATGTAAATTGAACATTTTTGGCAAGAATGATTTTCTGCAGTGCCAATTTGCATCACAACCTGAAAATATCTAGTCTTCCCACTTTTGGTGATGCTGAGATAAGTCAGTGATTTCAGACGGTGACATCTGGTCCCTCTATTGTGAAGCTCCACATCAATCTTTTCATCTAATGTTAATTATCGTTACCCAAATTAATTACTTTATTAGGGGTTTTCAAAATGGTGATTTTAAATTATTATACTAGTACTCATCCTAATATATAAAAAGCCAGGGGCCATCACCACCGAAACAACTAGATGGACGACCGAACAGCAGGCTACATGGGGCAACAAGGCTAAAGGGAATTAGTGAGGGACAACCAAACAACTGAACAGCAGGCTGTGTTGGGCAACTAGGTTAGTGAGGGATGACTAAAAGACTGATCAGCAGGTTGCATGGGGCAACCAGGCCAGTAGGGAGAGAAATTAGAGGTGACCATGCTGGCTGAGTGGGGAGCAGTTGGAGGCAACCAGGCAAGCAAGCAGGGGCAGTTGGGGATGATCAGGTCAGCAGGCAGAGGCGTTAGGGGTGATCAGGCTGGCAGGCAGGTGACAAGTTAGGAGCCAGCGGTTCCAGATTGTGAGAGGGGTGCTGCCAGTTGAGGCCTCAGTCCCCAGGATTGGGTCTAAACCGGCAGTTGGACATCCCCTAAGGGGTCCCAGATTGGAGAGAGTGCAGGCTGGGCTAAGGAGAACCCCTGTGCATAAATTTCATGAACGAGGATTCTAGTTAATTATCGTTACCCAAATTAATTACTTTATTAGGGGTTTTCAAAATGGTGATTTTAAATTATTTTATGCTTTAAATTTTATTAATTGGGATTCTTTTTTTGTTTTATTCATTAAGGTATTACATATGTGTCCTATCTCCCCATTGCCCTCAACCCCCCCCACTTATGCCCTTATCCCCTTGTTGTCTGTGTCCATCGGTTAAGCTCATATGTATGCATACCCTTTGGCTGATCTCTTCTCCTTATCCTTAACCTCTCCTACCTTCTCTCTGAGGTTTGACAGTCTGAAAGATGCATCTTTAGTTGGAATTCTTTGGTAAAGAAGGGTTTTCTCTCATCAACTAGGACTATGTAGTTTCCTTGAAATTTAGTTCATACTCAAGGTAAGGTAAATACTCAATCTTTCCTTTTAATTACCAATTCATAAAGTTAGAAGTTGGTACTATAGATACTTCCAATGGTGTCCACCGAGTTTTAATTTCTCTCTCTCCCTCCATAACGATGAACAAAAGACTTGGTATATTCTATATGTTTTTAGCTAATTACTCTCATTAGTTTTGCTGAAATTGTTCCATCTTTGATCAACAGTCACCCCTTCATGTTTGCTTCTGTGATCAATTGACAAACACCATTTGTTTTCATTTTTCTTTTAGGCATAAGATGTCCTATCTTCATGTTCCATTCTCTCAGTTTCAGACCTAGAATTAGCCATTTCTTCAAGGAGCCCTGGTTCTTTTTAATGGGATCTGAAATTCAGACATCAGAGTCTGGGTGCCAGGTATGTTCATCATTGGGGTTTTATTGTTTCTAGGCCTTTTCAGTGGACAGAGCTAGAGAACACATGCCTTTGAAAAGAAAAGAAAAATTAATCCATATTGATATTAATAAATAAAATTTATCTCTAAGACTTTCAATTAATTTCTTTCATATTATATTAGAAATCTTGATTTGTAAATTAAAGAAGTTTTATGTATAAAATAGCTTTATAATATTAAATTAATATTTATCTCAACAATTAGACTACTAAATCAAATTTAATTATCTTTGGCATGTGACTATATTGTACATTTGATAAAAAGATTCATTTCAGTTTATTTTTTATTTTACTTTTTATTGATTGATTTGAGAGAGAGAGAGTAAAAGAGAGAGAAAAACATTAATTTGTTGTTTTACTTACTTGCACACTCATTGGTTACTTCTTGTATGCTCCCAGACTCTGGATCAAGCCCACAACCTTAGAATATCATGACAATACTTCAAACAATTAACTGAGCTACCCTGTCAGGATCTCATTTCAGTTTATTTTCAATTTTTAGTTTTTTACTTAGTTTACTTTTAAATGCATAAATAGTATACTTCATGTGCAGTATTTAATAGTTAATTCTTTCTGCTTAAAAATAAAATTTAATTGTCATAGAAACATAATGATGAAATATTATGTGAGAAAAGACAAGCACAGTGTTGTTTATGGAAGTCAACTATCTAAAAATATACTTGAAGAAAAATACTGCAAGGAAACAGACTAAGATGTTGGCAGCGGTTCTCTATGGAAGATGTGATTCAGGTGAAATTTTGAATCATCTGCATACATTACTTACAAAATAAACAGGAAGTTATTTTAAAATATAATTTTACCTTGAAGTTTTCCATTCAAGAATATATTCTTCTACTTTTTGAAATAATTACCACTAAAAAGTAGTTTTTAAAGTAATTTTCTAAGAACAACCTTCAAAAAAATGATCTCTAACAATGATATGAATTATTTCTCTATTTGTACAAAGTTGCAAACTACTCTCAACCTAATGATTTACCACAAAGCAAATAAAGCTTAAGCTTCAGGGCATCAGCATTTCAGGATGCTAGTCATGTGCTCACATGGTCATATGCTATGTTAGTTTGCAAAAGAATTTTAATCACATTCAGATTGCTGTCTCTTCCCACTCTGACCTTCCTTGTAGCCTTTGTCAGGTGGCATTGGAGTGGCCACAGGCATTTCTGGGATCTGATTCAGGGTAGTTGCTTTTGAGAGATCATTGGTTTAGATTTTGTAGAATATATTTAGCCACTTTGCTGTCATTTTCAACTTATTACCAGCTGCCCCAGTGAAAGGACAGCTTCCAGAGGTACTCCTAGTACATGCTGGGCTGACTTACAGTACCCTGTGAACCAAAGTACACAGCCAGGGGTGGCAGTGTGGTAAAAATACTATGAACTATTGCACAGCATTGGAAGTACGGGGCAGTGTTTGAAACATAAGGTCTGTAATGTAAGGTGCAAGATGCTAGTCTGGAGGAAAATATTGTAAGATAGATAGATAGATAGATAGATAGATATCACTGTAAACTAAAGATTTATTTTTCATTGGTTATCAGTAAAAAAGACAGTCTCTTCTGTCAAGAATATACTAAATAGTGCAGCATATCATATTATAAACATACCATTTCCCCCTTTTAAAAATATGAATAATGTATTGAATAAGCTAAAAAAAAGTGCTGCTAACTGAAATTTGAAAAGATGCTTTGGAATGTTGTAATAAAATCAATGAGAAATTACATATTCATGTAATATAAATGAAGAGTACTTTCAATATATTTAAAGTTACTTAAAAATGCCAAAGAAAATATCATAAAATTAATGGAATATGAAACAAAAGTGGCAAAGAAAAATAATGAAGTCAATAGAAATCTTACATTAAGAGGGAATTTATAAAATTGTTTTCACTGCATCAAAAATAGTTATCCATTAATCAGAAGATCAAAATTTTGAATTAAAGTACAAACATTTTGTTTGTTTTTTAATTCTAATTAATGAATTAATAAACATAGTAGTAAATTTTTTTCCCATGATGATTAGACACTAAATACTGGCATTGATTTAAAATTCTTACAATATATCACTATAAAGCACATATAAAGAGGAATCTGTTTAAAAAGTGTCAAGATTCCAAAAGTATTTAAGGTTAGTTACTACACTAGAAAAAATTCCCTGAAAGCGTAAGTTTCCTATATTGGTATTTATTGATCATTGATATTTTTTCAATTTAACAATATTCTAAAACTTTATATGAAATTACTAATAAAGATACAAGTAATCTTCTGAATTATAAACTATAAAATAGAGTAAAATATTTTTATATTTTACCTATAAAAGATAGTATCAGAAATTTGTTAGTATGGGGAAATGTGATTGAAAATATATAAACTCCCAAAATATTAGAAAACAAGTATTGTAGAGGTATGTTAATCAGTTTAATAATATTAGCTTTTCTCCAGATATTGTATATACTTTAGGCCACACAAAGCCTGGTTCCCACTGTATTCTTAACATAATATTTGGTCATAATTAAATATGTAAGGCCTGGTTTGGAAGATTGAGGGAAAGAAGAAGGTAAAATACACAGAAACCTTGAAGGAGAATAGAAATGTCATAGGACTGTAAAAGTTAGATAAGAGTTCTGTGAAAAATTAGATAAAGTTGAATGTATATGTTTTAGAATCATGAATATTCTGTTGAATTACTTTCTTATTTACTTACTAGAGGCCTGGTGCATGAAATTCATGCATGGGTAGTGTCCCTAAGCCTGGTTGGCAACCAGGTCCAATCAGGGCCCTCCAGCTATGGGCCTTCTTTCATTTCGCACCACCCCCTGGTGGTCAGCACACGTTATAGTGAACGATCTAACTCCTGGTCTCCTGGTCAAACTCCAGAGGGGACACTTTGCTTTTGGCCTTTTATATATGTACTAAAGGCCCAGTGCATGAAATTTGTGCATAGGGAGGTTCCCTCAGCCCAACCTATACTCTCTCCAATTGGGGACATCCCTCTTGCAATCTGGGACCACTGGGTCTTAATCACTCGCCTGCCTGCCTGTCTGATTGTCCCTAATCACTCTGCCTGCCTGCCTGCTCACCCCTGATCACTTCTGCCTTCCTTCCTGATCACCCCTAACTGCTCCCCTGCCAGCCTTATCTCACCCCAACTGCCCTCGCTGCTGGCCTGATTGCCCCTAAATGCCTCTGCCTTAGCCTTCAACTCTATGGATTTGTCTGGAAGGAAGTCAGACATCTGAAAGATGGCCAGTCAACCCGTTATAATTAGCATATTACTCTTTTATTAGTATAGATGGATTACATAGGATAGGATTGCTTAAATTGAAGGGGGGGGAGGAGGTTTTAGCAGGAGGAAATGCTCTTGGCAGACAAAAATACATAATCCCTATATCTGGACTGATAGCCAGCCATATGCACTATACTTCCAAACTGGTCATTAAAAAATTGAACTGCTATCTTACACCTTACACCAAACAGCTGTTGCCCTTAAAACCCCTCCTCATCCACACCTTAGATTCTGCCTTTGCAGTTCACCCAGATTAGATTCTGATTGGTTAGTTTCTATGCCAGTCAGCATCAAAAGCTTGGCCTCGTAGGCAGCCATTGGCTCCTTGCAGTTCACCCAGATTTGGTTCTGATTGGTCGGTTTCTATGCCACTCAGCATCTCCGAGCCTATCTCCAGGCCTGATCTGTAGGCTCTGCAGCAGCTGCTGATCAGGCCTTGCCTCTCTCTCTCCGGGCCTCACTAGCAGCTGTGGCAGCTGCTGATCAGGCCCCACCTTTTTCTCTTTCCGGGCCTTGCCAGCAGCCACAGTGGCTACAGATAAGGCCCTGCCTCTCTCTCCAGGCTTCTCTGGGCCTGAGCCATAGCCACCAAGGCAGCAGCAAGGTTGTTAGGCATCCAGCCTGGCCCCGGGCCAGAGGCTAATGACCTCGCTGTGCCCACCTTGCCCCACCCACTGACCTGCAGCTCTGCCTGCTCACCAGCCTTGCTTTGATAGGAGCCTGTGGGACTGAGTGGTGCTCCATGCACTTCCTGGTGACCAATTGTCTATATGGTTGTTTAGGTCGTGATGGCCCCTGGCCTTTTATAATGTAGATAGATGGTCTGCCAATTTATTTAGTAGTTTAGTCTGGTGATAATAAAAGTATGTAAAACAAAATCTGTAATACTATAAGTGTAATATGCTAATTAGACTGGATGTCCTTCCAGATCAAGCCAGGGCTGCAAGGGAAGCCCCCAGTCCCTGGTGCCTGCTGGCCACCAGAGGGAAGCTAGCCTGGGTCCCAGGTGCCAGATGAAAGCCAGTGCCAGCAGCTGGGGGAAGGAAGGCGTACTTTTGCACAAATTTCATTCATCGGGCCTCTAGTACTAGATAATAAAGAAAAGTTTAAAGGTCAAAATCCAGGAAAAGAAAAAGTGGATTAAGAAAGCAAGATTAAAACCCAAAAAGGTCAAATCTAAACATTATGCAAACTATAAATTTGGCTTGAAACTTTCTGGCACCAAATAAAGGTGAAAGCATTTTTATGCACATAGTTTTTCATTCAAAATCAAAATCAGATCCTACCCCCAGAGGGGAAAAAGCTTTTCTGGGCATTTGATTCTAAATGAAGTATTTTAAGGGACACTTTACTATATATAGGGAGTGATGTAGAGCAAACACAGTAATAAGTTTAAATTGCTTGCTTCTATGAGAGCTGTACAATGCATTTGTGAAAGCTACAGTATATTAGGCGTTTGTTGCTTTGACTGCTCAGAATTAATTCCACTTTGGGAGTCTTTAAGCAGCCCAGTTCTTTGGGGAGAGATAGTTACATCCTGTTATGGCCAGTCAGCAAATCCGGTGCCCTATCTCCCCTAGGTTGGGAGCAGTTGAGTTAGGGTAAAATATATGCAGATGTAACAAATAACCTTCCAAATTAATAAGATGAGAGTTTATTTTT